ATTTTCAAAAACGCAAAGTGACAGGCTTTTCAGTACGTCAAAAGGGGTGACTTCATGCATTCACCGAGGCAAAAGAAGGTATGTGCAGAAGGGGGGTCGACTATTCGACTTTGGATCCTTCACTGATATAATTTTTTCAAGAACACTGCATTCCAGGGATATTGATGTGGTGTTCCATCGGGATGAGCAATCCGGTAGGCCCCATGAGGTAGGATTTTAATGATTTGAAAGGGTCCTTCCCACCGCGGTCTGAGTGGTCCGGGGTCAGGCCCCATTATACGTTTGAGGACCAAATCTCCAACTCGGAATGAACGGGGTTTGAGTTTAGAATTGATATATCTTTCATTTATTTGCTTGTACGCAGCATTCCTGAGTTCGGCCCGGGTACGGTGTTCTTCAAGTAGGTCCAGATCAGCTTTCCTATTTTCTGAGTTGGCCTCTTCGGTGAAATGCTGAACTCGGTATGTCGGTTCTCCGAGCTCGATCGGAACCACGGCTTCGGAACCGTAAGTTAAGGAAAATGGGGTCTCGCCGGTAGACGTCCGAGTGGTAATTCGGTAAGCCCACAGGACATGTGGCAACTCTTCAGGCCAAGCTCCTTTGGCGGCGTCAAGTCGGACTTTGAGACCGTTCTTTATGAGCTTGTTTACAGCTTCAACTTGGCCATTGGACTGCGGGTGGTAAGGCGATGAGAAGAAGTGCTTAATGTTGTATTCTTCGCACAGGGATTCAAGTCGTTTGCCTTCAAATTGTTTACCGTTGTCGGTTATGATGGAATTCGGCACCCCGAAGCGACAGATAATTGACTTCCACACAAAATCTACGACCTTCTGTTCGGTTATCGTGGCTAACGGTTCAGCCTCGGCCCATTTAATGAAATAGTCAACTGCCACGATAGCAAACCGGACACCTCCCTTTCCGGTTGGTAGAGGGCCAATAAGATCAATTCCCCATTTGGCAAACGGCCACGGACTGTAAATGGATTTTAGTTCTTCGGGAGATTGATGAACGTTCGGGGCAAACATTTGGCATTTCGGGCATTTGCGCACCCATATGGCGGCGTCGGTCTTCAAAGTCGGCCAGTAGTAACCTTGCCGCAGGATTTTATAAGACAGTGCCTGTGCACCGGGGTGACTTCCGCAAATCCCTTCGTGGACTTCTTCAAGAATATACCGTGAATCAGTTTCACTTACGCATTTCAAAAGTGGAACAGAGTACCCCCTTTTAAACAGAGTTCCGTTGTCTAATGTGTACCGAGCTGCTCGAATCTGAAGTGCTCGAGCTTCTTTTGGGTTCGGAGGTAAGGCCCCAGTTTCCAGGTAGTGGATGATGGGATCCATCCAAGTTGTTGAGTTTTGCGATGCCACTGGATTGATGGCTGTGACCTCGGAAAGGGCAGTTGATGGTTGCTCTTGTTGGCCGATTTGGATGTACTCCGCGCTCTCCATCCCGGTACTGGACGCAAGTCGAGATAAGGCATCTGCTTGAACATTGAGAGTCCAGGGGATATGCTCGAGGTCGGCGGAGAATTTTGATAATTTCCGTTTAGCCAAAGCGAGATAAGGTGTCAGCCGAGGTTCCTTGACTTCATACGAACCATTAACTTGATTGACAAGAAGTTGTGAGTCTGAGAAGACTTTGAGGTGGGTTACGTTCATGGACTCTGCCAAATTCAATCCGGATAGCAGTGCTTCGTACTCGGCCTCATTGTTTGTTGCTGGAAAGAGGAACTTCACCGAGTGACAGAATAACCGATTCTCCGGATCAGCTAAGACTATCCCTGCACCTGCTCGGTTGGCTGTTGAAGAGCCATCAATATAGAGGACCCAGGGTTGATTATTGCAATGAATTGTGATTGTCGGGGTAAACTCGGCGATAAAGTCGGATAAGGCTTGGGCTTTGATTGCAGTCCTCGGTTGATAGTGGATGTCGAATTGTCCGAGTTCAATGGCCCATTTAACCATGCGCCCCGAGGTGTCAGGTCGGTGCAATATTTGCCGAAGTGGATATGAAGTCCGAACAGTTATAGAATGCTCTTGGAAGTATGGTCGTAATTTCCGAGCTGCTATCACAAGTGCGAACGCTAACTTTTCCATCGGAGGATATCGTAGTTCGGCATCGTGCAAGGCTTTGCTGACATAGTAGATAGGTGATTGCAGCAACCCTTCTTCGCGTATCAAGACAGCGCTAATGGCAGATTCACTAACTCCGAGGTATAAGAACAACATCTCCTTGGATTTCGGCTTTTGCAAAGTCGGGGGAGAGATCAGTGTCTCCTTGAGATTGTCAAGGGCTCTTTGACATTCCTCAGTCCATTCAAAACGTTTCCCTTTCTTGATTGCTTCAAAAAACGGCTTACAACGATCTGTAGACTTGGAGATGAATCGGTTGAGCGCAGCAAGTCGGCCGGTTAGGGCCTGGACACCCTTGACCGAGGTTGGGGGAGTTAGATCTTGAATGGCCTTTATTTTGGCCGGATTGGCTTCTATCCCGCGCTGGCTTACCATGTAACCTAGAAATTTTCCGGATTCAACTCCAAAAGTACATTTCTTCGGATTCAGCACCATGGAATAACGTTGGAGGATGGCGAACATGTTTCTGAGATGCGTTATATGGTCATAGGCGTGTACCGACTTGACGAGCATGTCGTCAACATAAACTTCCATAGTGTGTCCGATCAATGTTGCGAACATCTTGTTGACAAGACGTTGATACGTGGCTCCGGCGTTTT